CTGTAGGGCTCTCCATACAGCCGGACGCTGTGGCCATTCTCTTCGATGAAGTCTCCAGAGTCCTTCAGATAACCTAGAAGGTCTCCTACACTGCTCAGTTCCTTGTCTGTCAGGTATAACTCTTTGTACTGCTCGTAAGGCTGTTCAGGACATTTTAGATTTCTTTTGGTGGGTGATGGAATAACAGGTCTAGGTTGTTCTCTGAAGTTAAGCTGAGGGGATGCATTTGTTCTTCCTTTGAACTCCTGAATTTCATTGTTAAGGTCTTCTAGTCGAGCATTCAGGGATGTAATGTCGACGCTCGGAATTGACCTTTCAATGGTTTCTTTAACTGATTCACTTATCTTCTGGAGCAATGAATTTTCCAGGAGGGTGCTCTCGTTGAGTTGAACTGCTGTGGCACAGGTAATGGCTTCTTCAGCAAGAATTTTTTCTTTTTTAGCAGATGGGTGGTTCTTAGGCCTAGGAAAGATGCAAGTGTAACACCAGGGACATAGCCATTTTTGGCTGATGCAGTCTAAATCACCCTGGGAGAGTTTATTGGTACCAGGTAGATTACCGCAAGAGGCATGCCATGATTGTTTACAGTCTGAGCACTGTATTACCCAGTCTTTTCCGTCTAGGGAACTGCTACATGGGCAAGAGGTCTTTTTAGTAGATTCTGACTTTTTCTTCGTCTGATCACTACTGTTTTTCTGCTCATTGGAGCTTGTTGAACTTGACTTGGGAGTAGTAGATTTGTTTGCGAGGGGACTGGCTTGTCCTCCTTTCGCCAGAGGACTTACACCACGTTGGCTTTGACGACGTTTGGCTTGTAGGTTCGAGGACTTCTGGGTGGGTGATCCAGAGGATAGAGTTTTCTTTTCTGTGTTTTTCTGCATTAGTGTATGGTTAGCAAGGAGCACATGATGAGATCGGGACCAGGGCACCATAGAACCAGCCAGCAGCCTGAAAATAAGATGATGAGAGTAAAAGAGTTTTGACATATGAGTGAGTGATATAAAGAAGAAAAGTAATTTGAAATCAAGATGAGCAGTTTTTAAAGTAAAAAGAAGAACATAGACTTATCAGATGAATGCAAAATGTGTTTTTGTGATGTGTTTTTTGCTTGGTGTCATGGGAGGGGCAAAAGGGCAAGGGAATGGAGGGGCGGGGAAGCGGGATGGGCTGCACTGGGCAAGGGGAGACAAATATTGTTTTTATTAATTTGTCTAAAGTAGATTTGTGTATTATTTTTAGGGTGGGCTGATTTTTTGTAAAGAAAAAAGAGGAGTATATAATATTAAATTTATGCGATAAATTGATATTGATATTATTATTGTTGAGTGAAGTTAACTCCTGAGATAAATTTTATTAATTTTTAACAAAGGGACTTGGAGTATAAACGACCAAGTTCGCATAAATGCCTACCCAACCAAGAATTTAGGAGGCAAGGGTGGGTGCGTAAACTTTACGGTCTGCACTCTCCGATCCTGTATCACCCTGAATTCTTTTTGACGTATTTTTGTAATAGGTATATACCTTTATCCATTCTCTTGCTACTCCAAGTCCCCTAAGATATCTGGTAAAAAGGTCCTGCTAGTTATATATAAAATATATTTATGTTTGCTTTAATTGATACTAAATAAAATTGTTGTTTTCTTGAAATTGTTGTTTTCTTGAGTATGTGATGTGGTTGTCATTCTAGCTAAAAGGCACGTAACCCATCACGTTGCTGCATCTATTTGCCAGGACTATTTAAAGTAAATACTTATGGATATCATCCGTAGAGGCACTCTGGTCTGTAGACTCTAAAATAGACATTGGAGCTGAATAGAATATGTTGCAACTTGCCTGGGGACCCCAGACTTCGTGTTTACAAACACAAACAATAATTAACACGATAAAAGATATGGCGGACTGACTGTCTAACATATCATAGTATCTGTTATGTAGAAAGAATCCTATTATCTCTGCAATAACAACAATAACGAGATTGCTAATTCTTGTAATAACTTTGCCCGATATCATTGTAAAATGTGTTACAATTAATGCAAGTGTAAAATGAGCTCAGCTGAACACAATCGTGGTAACGAAAAGCCTACAATGTCAATTTTCATCAAGTGATTAGCCGACATTTTTGTGACTTCATCATCATAACACAGGCGGTAAGTCGTATAGAAAGTTCAGATGACAACTTTGAATGGATCTTTAAAGTGGGCAAAATATTCAGTAGACAGTCCCCTTCGGTACTCACTACACATTATACTTAACATTTGTAAATAAATGTTATGCGTCAATTACGGTAGGCAGTTGGAAAAGGGAGACAGTTGCCCAATAGATTTACTGGCACCCAATTCACCACCTTTGGGGCACTTATCCAGGCTTAAGACCAGCAGGACAGTGGACACAAACATATATCACCACGAGTGGGTGGATTGATTCCCAGGGCATTTATTTTATTGACAATGTCAATCTTTTGCAGCCCGGTGTGGCCCAGTGGTGCATCACCGATCTAACGAATGAGGAATGGTTGCGAAAAACATTCTTTTATGCGCGGCGCAGCCTAGAAGTGCATCGCAGCATTGAGCATTTATCAGCACGCAGCATTTAAAATTATTTAGCTTGCTAATGTATTGCTCGCTCTTTTCAGTACAAGAAGTTGAAGCTTAAAAAGAGCGCTGCGTATCGGGATTGGCGTGCCACGAAACATTCAGATTTGGAGGTCTTCGCCACTTCAACGCGCCGTGCAAACTAGCATTCTTACTTCGCATCGAAGTCAACCCATCGAAGTCAACCCATCGTCGAGGGGTTCACAACGTCAATCAACATTCAGATTTGACGAGCCGCGCGAACTATTATTTTTACTTCGCATTTTTGCTCCTGACGAGATCGTTGCAAAGCAACAATTTGAAAAAGTTGACATCGTCAAACAACATTCAAATGACCAAAATATGAAGCATGACAAAGTTATTCATTACGTGATGCTCTAACCAGAGCCATCTCGCTTGCAGTAGCGCGCTTGTGATTGACGGATGTTACTCGTCTAAATTTCTTCGAAATAGCGCGCGCAGCTTTCTTCTCGAAATGGCCCGATTGCAAGTGCTACGAAGTAGCGCGCGCCGGGCTAAATCATTAACAATGGTCAAGCTTGTGAAACAAGCGCGTCACGCAGTACGCGTATACACATGGCTATGTGAACATTACGTGCAGATATGGCCCAATTACAGTGTCGTATCACGCGATCGCACGATTACCCACTTAATTTTGTTATCGAGATGAACAAATTGGTTCATAATTTTGCATATGTTATTTTGAATCTGTTTAGCGCCATTTTTTGACGAATGTTATTCGTCTAAATTTATTATTTATCTTGAATAAATTTATTCAAGTGTGAAGTAGGTCGAGAATCCTTGTCAGGTTTAGCTGGTTCTTCCAGGGCTTATGTCTGTCCGCATTGCACTTTGTGGCGCGAGGCAGCATTAGTGTCAATAAAAGAATCTTACTTCTATACTCTTTATGCGGTATATTATATTATATTACTATTATATGGACAGCTCCTCTAGAGAATCTATACCTATAATATGCCGCCGTGGGCTTTTCACGACTTCCAATATACCTATCTTATGATAAAGGCCAGCTAATCGGCTTAATAGATAGCCCTAAACCGGACAACCGGACCGCGACTTAACAAGACCAATGGGACATCTCAACCTGACCACGATAAGGCATTACTCGGCGTAGGGCGCCGAGAAAGTTTTGTATTCAAAGCTTCACTCTTCTCACTAAAACCGGGAACGCGCGCACGCGCAAAACTTTATCTTTCCTTTTCACGATCACGTGACAAGCAACTCACGCATCCACACGCAACTCCACACGATCCAATCAGGCCCTCTTTCTCGACCATTTCTGTACTCAGGCACCGGTTCTCCAAAGCAACTTACCGGGCATCATAACAGTACACAATCTCCTTGAACTCACACCATCTTTTTTACTTTTTCCGAACCTCCTCAACACACCAGCGATCTGCCCAGCACCACCTTTGGCAATTAACTAAAGAGCATGTCAATGGGGCGAGATCGGTCTCATTTCATAGTCACACGGGATCTATTTGTATCACGTGGTGACCTTGATTCACGATGTCAATCCTTCGCATCTCTCCGATCTGCATACGTGGTTGCGAGAAGCATTATTTGATGCGCGCGCGACCCAGTAGTGCATCGCGCTACAAGTGGTGACCCCACTGTCGCTTCACTATAGTCTTCGACGATACAGGGGGAGCCGCGCACTTCTTGCGCGGCGGGTCATACAACGTATCACAAGGATCTATGGTAGTCAATCTTCGGAGGGGCGCCCCCACTCAACTGCCATTGCTCTTGCAATGGTACCAGATGTATCTCTGCATTACCGGGATATAGTGGCGCAAACATCTGGACCTCAGTAGGACTCTTTGGTATTATTGAGTCGCTTGCTCTTTCGAGTCAAGTCAGTAGGTGCTGCACCCAAAAAAAAAGAAAAAAAAGAAAAAAAAGTGTGAAGTAGCGCGCGCCGTTTTTTTCTTTTAATATTAACCCTCCAGCCCGGTGGTATCAGACTCGACTTACCTGAGGACCCCAGGCTATTATGTTCATTAACATAAATAAAGATTTGGCGGAATGACAGGCTGAGCGCGGCCCAGTAAGACCCGACGTATGGATATTGACTTTTAGCCCCCTGTATATAACACAAAAGATCTGATACATGCAATTCGGGAAGTGTGTTTTTTGTAGGGATGTAATTCGCGCTATAAAATAAAGTTTACCAGGAAAATTAAACATATTAGGATACTAGGATGTGGGACAATATTTTACGTTAGTGATTAGTATTTTAAAATGTGTATAGAGAATAGCATAGCGACAAAAAACTTGTTGTATTCCATATGATTTATAGTTGTCGACTGAACTCATTTTATATTTCCCTTTTCATGTTTTAATTGAACCCTATACTAGCCAAATTTGGCAATTTTCTATTGACATGGAATTGTTATTGATGTAATTTACAGTCAACTCTAGCACAAAACCTTAAAAATCATAGATTCCATCAAAATATCCTAGGCTCTAGCATTCCTAGAATAATTTGTCCCCCTATAAAGCTCTTCCCAAAGTTGCCACCTGAATTCCCTATTTAATTACCGCCTGTATATGATGATGAAATCATAGAAATGTTGGCTGGTCACTTTATGAAAATTGACATCGCAGGCTATTCATTATTAGGACTATGTTCAGCTGAGCTTATTTTACAGTTGCATTAATTGATACAAATTTTATAATTATATCAACAAGAATTTTACAAGAATTAGCAGTCTCGTTATTATTGTGATGGCAGAGAGTACAGGATTCTTCCAAAGTGGCAGAGACTACGAATCTCGATATGTTAACCATCGCTATCTAACAGAGGAGAAGAAAGTTTTGAGCCAATATGAAAGTGTTGATTATTTTAGCCCCCATAGCCAAATTTACAAGGTGAACTTGAAAAGACTAATCTATTATACTTTTGTTCTAATACTTTATACAAATATCAGCTCATTTTAGCCAGTTATTTTAATATTTTTATCATGACCTATCAGCTTAACATTTTTCTAATCAACTAAATATTGTACTTATATAATCTGTTGACCACTGAAATCTTTTAACATGATACATGTCATCGTTTCAGGAATGGGTAGCAAAGCAGCCAGCAAGATTTGAGTGGGATAGATGGGTTACAATGGGGTGCATCGGCTTTCTTGTGGGCTTGACTGCCTTCATTATGCACCAAGGTAAATGTTACAGTATTGTATATGCACTATATTAGAGTAAAGTTGTTAGTTTTGAAACTATTTGACTCTTTCATTGATGGAGATCGTCGTCACAGATAATTTGCATGATTGTTGTTAAGCTCATCAAACCAATAATTACAATCTCAAATTTAAAACATACAAAAAAATTTAAAACATACAAAAAATTTGTTTCACTTAAAAAATTTTGTCACTAATAGAGTACTGCACAATAGTTCTAAGAAATCAGATGATTAAATGAAAGTAAAAAAATACAAATGAAGAAATGACAAACTGGTATGAGTATTTAATCTACAATTACTCAAATATTAATCACTCATACTTGCAAAAAGTTTAAATTATTAGATTGCATTGTATGTACTATATGCAAAAGTTTCAAATCAAATCATGATTGTTTTTCGTTGACTGTGTGTCCCTCTTTTTGAATAGAATCTCTCTCTTGGCTGTAGTGAGCCCACTTTAGCTCTATACGTAGTGCAATTCAGACTTGTGTTCCTCTCAGATTTGTGTTCCTCGGACTTGTGTTCCTCAGACTTGTGTTCCTCAGACTTGTGTTCCTCAGACTTGTGTTCCTCAGACTTGTGTTCCTCAGACTTGTGTTCCTCAGACTTGTGTTCCTCAGACTTGTGTTCCTCAGACTTGTGTTCCTCAGACTTGTGTTCCTCAGACTTGTGTTCCTCAGACTTGTGTTCCTCAGACTTGTGTTCCTCAGACTTGTGTTCCTCTTAGACTTGTAAAATCTTTGTTTAACAAACTTATTGAAACTGCTGATGGATGCAAAATATATGAAAGGATTTGCAGCATAATTAAGATAAACAATATAGTAAGACCAACGGTAAAATACACTAAACCAACTGCTAGAGCTTCCATCTAGAAATCTCTTTAGTATTTGGTAAAGAAAACCATATGGTCCATGAGAAACAAAAAACAGAGCACAAACTAAAAGTATGGTGATTGAACCCTGTTTGTGCAAAGCACCAACCTTGCTTACTAAGCATAGCAACCATACTGTTGCCACTGTTATGACTAACTGAGGAACTATATTAAATACCATAACAATCACATTAAACATAATGTTAGGCTTCTTGTCGTAGCTTTCCCGGGAACATTGGTAGACGGCACTATGGAACTCCGTCCTGTTGTCTTTAATGGTCTCCCTGTAAATAGTAGTTCCAGCAGTGAGGCAGATCATCAGTAACCATATCAATGATGCTATTATTCGTCCATTCTTCTTTGACCGAGATAGCGATTGAAGAGGTCTCAAAATCCACATAAGTTTGCAAATGCTGAGAGCTGTCAACAGAACAATATCTGTTAAGATACATGTGTAGAACCAGGTTTTGGAGAAGATGCAGAAAAGATCGCTGTAGAGGTTGTGTTTTGTGATGATGCCAGGAAGGGTGGATGCAATGTAGAGGGTTACTCCAAGCTCGGCGATGGCTATGTTTGTGATCAGAACCACAGAGATGTCGTCCAGTTTGATGGCATTGTACTTGACTGATGCTAACAGGACAACAATGTTTCCTGTTGTGGAGAGGATGACGATGATGGTTGACCATGTAACTAACAGAATCCATTCAAAGTAACTTGGGGGACTGTTCTTGTAAGGTATTTCAGCTAAGAGATCCATCTATGTGCCTAGATAATGTTATTAAATGTTAAGTGTCAAAACGTATCTTACCGACTAAGCATTTCTCATGTTATCCATGTCAGTTCAGGATGTTAATCATAATATCAGTTTTTTGCCTTGATGCATAAAGTTGATAACGGCCCTGATCAAAAACTAAATCTCAATGATTCGAGACACCAAAAAGAGATGTTCCTAGATAATGTTAAGACTCCACGTAGAAAAAGCAAACTACAACTTTGAGTCGCTCATAGTGCTATCAAATATCATTCGAGAGAAAATTACAGGATTTTAGAATTTCATTTCCTCTAACTACGGATCTTCACAAGGATACAGAATGTGGTGATGAAAGTATAAAAGGTTTTATAGATTGCGTTCTACCCGGGCTCTCTAACATTTATTAAATTAGCTAATTAAATATGAATTATTGGCAACTGCTCTTGCCTTAATGATCCAGGTCTCTGTCTCTGTCTCTCTTATTCAAATACAGTTTCTACTTCATAACATTCAGACTGTCGAGAGCCGTGCTACTCCCTACTAACACTACAATGTTTAAAACACACAGACTTTGAACATACGTAACCTTTTGTCCACCGAAATTGTTTTTGATCTATATACCTCTATAGACCTTAATGACATCACAAACCTTCTATACTGTTCTGTCCACAAACGCTCCATATTTCTATACGTACTATTTATATGTGTACTACATAATATAAACTTCTAGAAGTTCTTTTGTTAGTATTCTTGGTGATTAAGGTCAGTGCCACGGTTGAATGAGGCATTATGTATTTGTGTAAGACGGAGCGTGACGAAGATGGACAAAATCACATACAAAACTACACTATCATGACTTATAATAGTACCTTGGCTGTTGAGTGCTTAGCCCGATAGTTCCTTTGGCAAACCTTGCGGGAAATTATTAGTTACCAGTGTTCACGACTTTTCGAGGATATAATTCCCGGAGAGAATTATAATGAAACAGTATGTGGTAGTTCGAACCGCCCGTCTATATATATATGTATACTAGTGTAACCCGTGCCTTCGGCCGGGACTTCACTATCGCAGTTGAAATGCAAAAGTATAAACCCGCCTTTTATATTCGAAAACACACATTACATTTTCATAGTAAAAACGGTTCGAAAGTATGAACTTGCCAAACACACCGCAATTTAATTCTGAGTGCCCCTCATATATCTTATAATAATATTTGATAGTAATTCTTGAGGTCCACTGTCAAATTACATAATTATATCGTTAATCTGTTATGGAGGGACAGATAACGAGAGTGGGAGAGAGGGAGAGTACGAGAGACAATTTAGTATCACATTTTGGTCACAAAATTATCAATTAAATCACTTACCACCGGCCGATTTACAAAACCTTTAATCTACCTTATGAGAGTAGATAAACTCTGTAGCTGTGATGTTGGCTTTGTTTTCTGCCATTTTGTAAAACAGAAGAATTCGTTAAAATTTTAAAGATCCTTATTAACACGTACTATGAAAAAACAAGAGATGTAATCAATAATCACGTTGCCGAGACCAGTTATATATGAAACAGTGAGCTGGTTTTTTACAGAAACAGGCGATTAATCACAGAAATATAGGAGGAACTGTAAAATATTACAAATATTACAAATATTACAAATATTACTAATATTACTAATATTGCGAAAACTGCAATGATGCCCGTAAAACGCGCAGAGCTGCTGAAAGACTCTGGAAGAAGCATAAAGGTATGGCTGATGCTCAAGATTATAGAGAAATCTACAGGGAAGCTTGTGTAGATACTACCTTAATCATCTCTAGAGAACGGAATCGCTATTATGAGAAACGACTTACAGATGCTAAAGGAGATCCAAAAGCTACATACAGAATTATAAATAACCTTCTGGATAAAGATCTTTCTCGGAAGTCCCCTTCTGGGCCCACGCATCAAGCAGTTGCAGAAAGTCTCAAAAACTACTTTGACGATAAAGTAAAGAAGATTTATGGGTCTATCTCAGAGGAAAACCTGTCCAGTGCTGATAGTCAATCTGAAGACAAACCTTGTGTAAAAGAGTTAGAGATGCCTAATGATACACATAGTTCTCTACCATGCTCTGCTACAGCTTTCAGAATAGTTACTCGATCAGAGGTTCTTTCCCTGATTACTAAGACGATGAATAATAAGTCGTGTGAACTCGATCCTCTTCCAACATGGCTCCTCAAGCACTGTCTCGATGAATTGCTCCCTCATATCACCCTCATAGTTAACCTATCCCTCCAAGAGGGCTATTTTCCACATGCTCTGAAGTCTGCTATAGTACGACCAGTCCTAAAGAAAGCCTCTCTAGATGCAGACGACTTGAAAAGCTATAGACCTGTGAGTAACCTCAGTTTTATTTCCAAGGTTATAGAAAAGTGTGCCCACTCACAGTTTTCCGAGTACCTAAATAAGAACAATCTTTTCGCAGCAAATCAATCAGGTTATCGGAAAAACATGAGCTGTGAAACTGCAGTGCTCAAGGTACATAATGATATACTCCTCCAAGTTGACAAGAAGAGTCATACTGTTCTTCTTCTTCTTGACTTGTCAGCTGCATTTGATACCATCAATCACAAAAGACTTTTGAGACGACTCGAACATAGCTATGGATTTAGTGGTATTATTCTTCAATGGGTTGCAAGCTACCTGTCAAATCGATCCTTTATCGTTGGTGTTAAGGGTGAATATTCCTCTCTCTGTGACCTCGAGATTGGAGTTCCTCAGGGCTCAATTCTTGGTCCTATATTTTTCATCCTTTACACTAAACAGCTACAAGATATTGCAAGTATGCATGGTCTCCAAATCCATCTATATGCTGATGATACTCAGATATACTTCTCATTTGATCCTAAAAAAGACATAGCCATTGAATCTATGAAGAGCAAATTGAAAGAATGTTTCGAGCACATCAAATCATGGATGAGTGAGAACTACCTGAAACTCAACGACAATAAAAGTGAGATAATCGAGATCTCTACAAACTCCAAAGCCCCAAAACAAGTTGAATTCAATCTTGACAGCATATGCTCCATTAAACCTACCAAGTCAGCAAAGAATCTGGGATTCATTTTTGACAACCATCTCAATTTAGAGGCACAGATCAACAACGTTGTCAGAGTTTGCTATGTAAATCAGCGAAATCTTGGCAGAATAGGTTCCAAACTGAGTAAGGAGCTCAAAATCCAAATGGTACACGCTTCAATTCATTCCATTCTGGACAATGGAAATGCTACTTATGGTGCCCTTTCTGAAAGACTTCTCCAGAAACTTCAAAAAGTGCAGAATACTGCTGTGAGATTCATATTCGGACTTCACGGGAAGTTGA